AACGGCTAATACTAACATGCTAAAATTAATCATGGGTCAATACTCATTAAAACCTTAAAGTAATCAAAAAGTAATCAAACGTAATTAGTTACATTACTTTTTAAAAGTAATCAAAAAAGTTACACTACAATTACATTTTAAACAAGGTAACTTGTAACTGTAACGGATTACATTTTTAAAGTAACTTACCCAACACTGCGCGTGACACTGGGAAACTGCGTGACTTTTTTTTGGGGCCGTACTAGTATAAAGTGTAATTGCACCTCCCCTCCAGTAGGGGGCAGTGGAGCTCTCATCGTTACTTCAGTGTAACATTTTACGACTTAAAAGACAACAGGTTAGCCTCGGTTAGCATCTGTGTTGTGTCTGTAGCCTCCGTTATTCAACATAACAACCCCCAACATTAAAAGTTTTTAACAGGGATGAAAAGAAAAGCAGAGAGAGACAAAGATAACGAGACAAAAGAAAGTCACCCGAAAGCTAATCGTTTTATATATTGTGCTCCCGAGTTAATGTTGCTTAACTGAATATAAATTAGTTATTATTTTTGTTGTTTTTTGTAGTTTATTAGTTATTATAATTATTAAATATTATTTATTGATTTTGATTTAATTTTGCAATGGTGAAATTAAATCAAACATGTTTACATTTTAATAAGGATTTGTTTATTTTTAATTTCAGGCATTGATGCACTTAAAATCTTTTCTGTTGCAGACTTAAAACACGATTTCATAAAGTTGTAAGTTTGACCATATGTCTTGCTTTTTTTCTTTTCTTTAATGTTAATAAGGATAAAATGTTATGCAGAGATGTATAGTGACGGTGGGGAGTGGGGGGGCGTGAATAGTTTTCTTCTTGCTAGGTAACAGAAAATAATTGAGAAGCACTGAACCAGGGTAAGAAAGGATCTCTCTCCTTTCCACTACCCTTCCCTCCCCCCTGTTCCTCTGTCAGGTTATTGGACATTATTGGAAGTTTGGTAACAAAAATGAATGAATAAAGAAGTTTTGGGTAATCAAGGGGGGTTCTCACAAGAAACAAAAGCCTCCTCTAAAAAAAAAAAAGTAATTTTGCTCAGCATAGAACAGAACTCAGATTTCAGTTCTACTATCATAGTGCTGAACAGGGCAAGGTAAAAAAAAAAATATATAAAAATAAATAAAAAAGATTAGGGTAAGAAAGGATCTCTCTCCTTTCCACTACCCTTCCCTCCCCCTGTCCCTCTGTCAGGTTGGGCATTATTGGGCATTATTGGAAGTTTGGTAACAAAAATGAATGAATAAAGAAGTTTTGGGTAATCAAGGGGGGTTCTCACAAAAAAAAAAGCCTCCCTTGGCAAAGCAATTTTGCTCAGCATAGCACGGTACGCAGATTTAAGTTCTGCTGCCATAATGCTGAACAGGACAAGGTAAAAATAAATAAATAAATAAAAATAAAAAGATTAGGGTAAGAAACCAGCAACAACTCCAAAGCACAATCAGAAATACTTTAATAATCCCAATCCCAGAGGGAAATGATTTCAATTAAATTACCCGTTGGGTTCATATAATAGAGGCAAACTTTGAGTCCATTTTCTGAAAAGATCATGTAAATTCTGACACAATAGCTACTATTTATAGATTCACAGCATTGTAGTCAAGTCAAGTCAAGTCAAATTTTATTTATAAAGCACATTTAAAATAAGCAAAGTTGCTGTACAGGTAAAGATAAACATACAGTGTGGGAAATAAGTATTTGACCCCTTGCTGATTTTGCAGGTTTGCCCACTTACAAAGAATGCAACGATCTATAACTTTAATCACATGTACATTCTAACAGTGAAAGACAGAATCCCAAAGAAAATTCCAGA